CAAGTACTCTAGGTTGTGGACCACCTTCACCGTTCATGCTGCTCCTGTCCACTCTCGGCGGAATTGGAAACTGAGGCGATGACGCTGCCTCCCGCTGCCAAGCCCCTTGCCCTCCAGGTTGTCCCGGATCATCAGCGCGAGGGTGTCCTGGATCGCGGCCATGAAATAGAGGTCCAAGTAGTCCTTCAGGAGGCGGAGGTCCCACCGGCATCGGTCCTTGGGGATTCGGTCCAAAGGCCCTTTGCAACACCTCAAGGGATTGCCTCACCGTCTCCTGCCAGCCAGCTCCTCGGTCATGCCGTTCAGATGCTGGACCTTGTTGTCTTCCATCCGCTCCGCTTGCCGCCGTCGAAGATCTTCTCGCCTCGCCAGCCGCTAGAGCCCCTCCAACTCTCTTCACAGCAGGTGGCATTGAGGCTGCCCTTGCCTCCTCGAGGAGGGTGTCTAGCCTCTCGTCAGCTGCTCCCACACGTAGTTGCCCTCCTCGATCTCCTGGATCCCTCAGCCTGCCTCCTTCGCGGGAGGAGCGCCGCCGCCGCGCCATCAAGCCGCTCATGGGGACCAGCGACCTCAAATGAGGGTGGACTTCAAAAGCTCTTTGGGCTCATAACCTGTGGTTATGGAAAAAGCCTCAAGAGCGACCGACAAAAAACAGCCGCTCACGTTGTTCCTTGAGCCAAACGCAGGTCGTTTTGACCGGTGGTTCACCTTTTCAGGTGTTCATGACCTTCACGAAAAAAGGTATGCTGGGTCGTGTGTTTTTCCACTCACAAATTCTTTTTGAAGCCTACCCAGACGCGGGAGGATTGAACTCGAGAGTTAATTCTTTTGATGTGGGTTTCCACGCCTAGAATAGAATCGAATAGAATTAACTCACGAGTTAATTCTCAGAATGGTGTCAGGAAGAATGCTGTGCATATTTGTTCTCCCCACACTGTTTGGGGTCGCTTGCCGGAGTTACTTAATTCCTGGATTCACTCCATTTCATGATGCGGTTGTTTTGTCACTGTCAATGCCACAAACAAACAAACACTACCAATCAAATTAAAAAAGCATCAAATCACGAGTTGATTCTTGCACAGTCTGGAAGTATACTTTTGCGAATACCGCCAGCTTTAACCAACATGTATGTGCCCACCCCAAGCGTGCCCTCAACAGCAGCGACACACTGGACGCACCGGCCACACACACGTAGGAACAACAAGTGTGTGTGGGTTCAATTGTGCCCACCCCGCATGCACCCTGACACCAGGAGAGCGGTGACAGGAGCGCAGGGGGCGCGCTGGCCTTAAGGGCTGCCAGCCATGGTCTACTTGCACTGAGCTTATTGACATTGATCCTGCTTTCGGAGGACAGGGTGGGCGACGGAATCGTCAAACTGCAGAGTCGCAACGCAGAGGTCGGGTGCTTGTATACCTGAGCTGGCGGCGCTTGGAACCGCGGCGCTTGGAACCGCGGCCGCCCGGCTGCGCCCCAAGGGCAGCAGCAGCCGCCGGTGGGAGGGGGCAGCCGCGGTCTGGAAGGGGACACAACACGAGTTTTGTTAGGCGTAACGCTTGACGATGCCAACGCTTGATTTATATTTTGCGTCGCAGGCGAGTGTGTTCGTGATGGACCCTTCCTTTTTTTGGAATGCAGCAGCAGTCCGTCGAGCTTTGAATGCTGTGTCGGCGCCTCTTGTGCTGTTGGTCCAGCCGTCTTTTGAACAGACTCTTCTGGTTTGTAGTGAAGCGCAGCTCATTGGTGAGGTTGAGTATCTGGCAGATGTCCCTGATGCTGCTCTGTGCCAGCTTGAGCAGGTTGACCCTTCGAGACAACTTGGATGCCCGCTTCTCAAGCCGGTGGATGCAGCCACAGAGCTTCTGTTTCGCATCAGGGGCACCTTTGAAGTCAGACTCGCGTACCATCTTTGTGAATAGCGCTCTGACGAGATTCCAGAGTTTGAGATGCCAGAAGAGATTGCCAATGAGGCAATTGAGGAACTCAACAGAGAAACCTCAAAAATGATAGTGTCGCCATATGGCATCCGTCGAAGTCAGATGCAGTGGCAGAGCCTGATGCAGTGGCTCAGGGATCTAGGCTGGATGGTGTAGTGGGCCTGTATATAGGGAAATCGGGACATGTGCAAACCTTTTGATGTGCGGAACAGGGCCGGCCATCCAGTTAGCTAGAATTCGCCATAGCCGCGCGGAACTGCAAGGAGCAGTTCCTGCCTCGATGCCGGCATGGTGTTGATCGTTCAGGCTTTGTTGCCGAGGCTCGCCAAGTTGGCTATGATGCCTATCGAGGACAAGGGTTATCTGGCACACTTTTTGGCTCAGAATGCACTGCGATGATTGGACACGAGCCAAGGGCGTCGGTATATTGATCGAATTGACTTGCGTCGGCTCTGGGTGCTTGGCAAGATCTGCCGTTTCAGCTTTTGGATGGACACGTTATTTTGTCCCTTCTTTGAAAGAAGACACAAGTGGGTGCTTGGGTTTTGCGTGGCGGTCGGATCGAGGTAGCTCCGTTTTTGGGTGAAGATTTGTGGACCCTTCAGGGTTGCACGCCAGATGTCATTGTCCAACAAACTGCATATGGGGAACCGGATATGGCGCTCTGGGGCGAGGTCACCCAGCTGAAGCTGGAGGGCTTGACTGCAGCTGCCATCTTACAGGCAGCAAATACGGCTGATAATCTATAAACACAGCCGTTAAACCGCATCTGTTTTGGTTCAAGCTCACGGCCCAAACAGGTGCGGTAGCTAAACGGCTGTTTTTATACTACAACTAGCAAACTACCAAAGAAACACACAGCTAGGAATGCCACAAACAAGCAAAAACTACCAACCAATTAAACAGAATCAAATCAAGAGATTCAAGAGTTAATTTTTCCACAGTCTGGAAGCTACAGCTAGCAACTTTACCACAAACAAACTACCAAAGAAACGGGCCGGGTTTTTTTTCCGCCCGCCATGTTTTTTTTCTCACCCGTTTTCCGGCCGGGGGTGTGGCGAGGTTCACGGTTTCGTTCCTCCGCCCGCCAGGGTTTTTTTCTCGCCCTTTTCCTTCCGTCCAGGTTTTCGCCCGCGCAGGGTTCTTTTTAGACCGTTTTCCGGCTGCGAAGGGTTTCTTTTCCGGCTGTCTGGGGCTTCTTTTCCGCCCGTTCCGTGCTTGTAAATGGTTCTTTTTGCGCCCGCGGAGGGTTCCTTTTCCGCCCGAGAGGGTCTTTTTTCCCACTTGCCCGCGGAGGGCTCGTTTCCCGCCCAGTCCGGGCTCGAACCCAGTTCGTCCAGGCTCCCGCCCGCGCAGGGGTCTTCTTAGACAAGAACGGGGCGCAAGCTGGATCCTCTATTCCGCCTGCCAGGGTTTTCTTCCCGCGCTCAGGGATATGACGAGGTTCACGGTTCCATTCCTCCGCCCGCCAGGGTCTTTTTCTCGCCCTTTTCATTCCGTCCAGGCTTTCGCCCGCGCAGGGTTCTTCTCAGACCGTTTTCCGGCTGCTGGGGCTTCTTTTCCGCCCGTTCCGTGCTGGTACTTCACCTTTGCACGGTTCCATTCCGTGCAGGTTTTCGCCCGCGCAGGGTTCTTTTTAGACCGTTGGCCGGCTGCGAAGGGCTTCTTTTCCGCCCGTCTGGGGCTTCTTTTCCGCCCGTTCCGTGCTGGTACTTCACCTTTGCACGGTTCCATTCCGTGCAGGTTTTCGCCCGCGCAGGGTTCTTTTTAGACCGTTTGCCGGCTGCGAAGGGTTTTTTGCGAGAATCCGGTGTTCCCTCTTGGTCGTTTGGAGTACATTGGTCCCCGGACGGTCAGAACGGAGCGTGTGGCACACAGACGCCGCAGGATCCCGTTCTGGGAAACACAAATGCTGGAAGGAAGCACAGACGATACACCAACGTGTTGTTTGAGGGGTGTCCAAAGGCTCCGATCAATGATTCTAAGGACTTTTTGCAGGCAGTGAAGCGCATTCTCGCAGAGGCCGCATGCGGCGATGCTTGCATCCGTTTCAAGCAGCAACAGACCAAGAAGGCGCGGACGCTGTCTGGGCAATGCGATCCACATCGATGCGACGGCTGCAACTGGAGACTCTTAGCTACGATCGGTTTGGATTCGCAAGGACAATCTCGCTTGCTTGTGAAGTGTGATGGAGAACATGGAAAGAAGATGACGAAACCAGGGTCACAGTTGTGGACGGAGACTGAAAGAGATATCATACATCAAGCTTTCCCAGGAAGCATGAGCGTCACAGCTTCCCAACTTCGCGCAGCCTTTGCCGCCAAAGGGGCGCAAGTCAACCTGTCTGCCCTGGTCAGGATAGAACCCAAAACGGATGGAACATCTACTATGCTT